TGATGTTCAAGTCAATAAGGGTATGATAGAAATGTGTATGCAGAGAAGGTTATGCGTACCTTTTACTGTGCATCTTTGGTCCTTTTATATGGTCATTGCTCTTGTTAGGGTTCCCATAATTGAGGAATCAAGGTGGCACACACCTTCCATCAATTTGAAAGGTTTGTTGCGGATTATTAGAATCTGTAATAATCCCTCCAAATGCTCCTCCATTTGCCTGGCTCTTTTTGAGTTGTTGATGGCGCTTGTTCTTTGTACCAAAATCCCTTGATTGTAGGTGTTTCCTTGTGATTGCGTTTAAGCTTGTTCGAAATAGAGCTCGGCTATGCTGGAATTGAACTGTTACTCATGCTACTGAGCTCACTGTTTTTAGCTCGGCATTATGAACCGAGCTCTCACTGTTCGGTTCAGGCTGGAGTTCCCTATTTTGCTTCGCAACCCACATGAATAGTCTCGTCATACTCGCGTGAGTTCATTAATTATCTTCTACACGTGGCATAATTTTATCTCCCTTCAATAGGGTAGGGTAAGATCGAAATATTGCGAAATGGATCGGGTGGACGAAATTTTAAACACTCCTATGATTGACAATTATATCTAGGAGATATAGGCAGAAGAGTGTCATTCGGAGATGATGTTTTGTTTTGCCCTAAACAAGAATCAATTTAGGCAATCCAAAATCATTCACACATCCTTTTCGATTATAAAATACAGGTATCTAATGTAAATCAATGCTATTTTATTGCACAAAATTAAGACAATAGACAGTATATCGTTATACTTCACCTATATTTGGGTTAGATGTCTTCTTTACCTTAGATAGGATTTGTAATTATTCCTTTTGATAATCTATTAATAAAATTTACTTTTTTTTATTGGAAAAAAAAAAATTTAAGACAGTATACACTGTCAAGGAACTTCAATCGGTGAGTTTTGAGTCGCAACTAGGAATTCATTGTGAAATTTGAACTTCCAAAATAGGTGTCTCATCTACTCTCGGACAAAAAATTCAGTTAAACGTAGTCTGACACACTCATAAAAAAGAATTCTACATCAACCACAGAGCAGCACTAATTGTGAAAGAATCCACTCCCACACCCCCACCCAAATACGATTTATAGGCGAAAGAAAAAGAAGATTGTTAGATCACATTTTATGGTTGGTTAATTTCATAAAGTCTATTGTAAATTTTAATCTTTTTCATGGTCATAATGCTATCAAGTTGAAGATTCAAAAGTGTTATTGAAAAGAAGAAATCAAACATCAAAACAATATCATTCAAACTCCGTATGCACCTTCATGTTTGAAACAAAGGTAATGACCTACATACCTAAGATGAACCCTTAATTATTTTAACTTAAAATAATTATGATTAAATGCAATTGAAAGCAATCTGTATATGACTCCTAGATGTTTTAAAATGAAAAAGAAAATTCTAAATAATTTGGTGTTTAGAAAATATAGATTAAGTCAATAACGGATCCCTCCTGAACAACACCCTTTAGTGCTCAAGAAAACAAGCTTTTTACTTGATTTTATACTTAAAAAACTAGTGAGGACCACACTCTGCTCATTAGCTTTCATTAAAACAGTCTCTTCATAATTTAAGGAAGAAAATGCAAAAAATACCACGAATGGTCATCTTTTAATTTTATTAATAAAAATGTATTGTTTTGAATTACATATCTATATTATATTTTAACAGTTTTGTGGTAAAAGTAACCTAAAATTTTGGTAATTAATTTGCTAAAATGACCTAAAAATTAATTATTTAAAGTTTAAAAATTTGTGAGGCATTCTCCATTCCTATCCGACCTTCCAATCCGGTTTTTTGGACAAAAATTGGCTTAGAACATTTACCCTTTTCAAGTAAAGTCCGCCAAACAAATAGGCTTTCAGAACTCATCAGTTCGAAACATGAAATCCAAAAATTCCGGGTGAACAGCCCTAGCCTCTTATAATGCAAAATGTCCATTAGGAATTTTTTTTGCATGCCCAATGTTTACATTACTCCTTTTTTGTTTATGATTGCTTAATTTGAAAGCTAACAGATACACATTCATGCATAATGTGTAGGCAGTTTACAACCCCAGAGAGCACCAAATTACGTGAGAAATCACATACAGTCTTCAATGGGCATATAAGTAGACTCATAAACAATACTAGCAATGTGCCATAAGAACTAATACTATAAATCTCCTGTAGTAAGCTTCAATTCATCTTAATCTTATCTCTAATTGCTGATTGCGTATGTAATGCTCCTCTGAATGTTAATTCGCACAAGAGCTTCTCGTTGTGTCCTACCATACTTAGAAATGCTTGAATCCCACAGTTTTAAATTAGGAATTGACAAATTATGCATTCATACACTGTAAATTCAGTATAAAAAATACACTGTAAATACAACAGCACATGACAAGAAATCGTAAAACGATACCCAATAGGAATTAAAATAAAAACTCTAAAATGTGGCACCATGCAGACAGCTAGATGCGGGCAAGAACTTGCCGTAAATTTGTGACTGCCATAGAGAAAAGATCAGAGCTGACAAGATGTCCATAATCACTAGTACTTGTTTAACAGAGCTCACCACTGCACAATTTATACCAATGCCATATCACAAAGCTTTGAAAAGTTGCAGCAATCTGAATATCAAGCTCCCTAGAAGCGGAATAACAAGAAAGACACAAAAAGGGGGAAAAAAAAAAAAGAACAGATTACTCATGAAGGCCACATAATAAACAACTTGTATTGCAATAAAAAGTGAAGACTCATCACAAACCGTGTTGGAGAGAGCACGTAGGCAAAGAATGCTTGTGGAATTTCTAAAAGGGCTGCGACCCTGGGAGTCTGGGCAGTGCAAAAGTACCAGCTTAACCAGAATCAGTTTGTGCGAGCCCAATCAGGTCCTTCCCTGGAACACACATAAGGGAGAATCAAATCAGGAAGTGAAATAATAACAAAAAGTAAAAGGCCTAATATATTATGGGAGGGATGAAAATGAAAAAAAAAAGAAAAACAAATCAGTCTGAAAATATATAAAAAGAATAGTTATCCTTTCTTAATGAAAAAACATAAAAAAGCAGAATTGTTCCATACAAACAAAAATAAAAAATAAAAAAATAAGGGGCTAGAATACAGAAATTAGACTTCATGCAACTGAACCTTTCAGACCATGTGGACTGGCTTCAATTGCATCTTGGATGGGTTTTTCCAATACAAATTATCACAAGAATCCACCAACTACTTGCATACTCCGAGATCTTTTTAGGACCTGACTTATTTATCTTCCGCCATTCTTAACAATCAATCCATGGTTAGATAAATTCATGAGTTACCAAAAAGTCGATTCACAGTATAGAGAAATTTTTGTCGAGAAAGTCCAAGTCAAAGCAGAAAAGGAGAACCAAAACTAAATATCTATCCCAGAACAATAATTATAAGCATTCATCACAATTTCCAAACTCTGTTACTGAGCCAAACCCTCTAATCAATGTTACTGCTTTTACCAAGAACAGAAATTAATGTAAAATACTTTTAAGGAAAAAAGGGCTGGTGTGATATAAGAAAACTTACCTTGAAAGCGACTAAGAAATACTCTAAACATCCCAAAAATGCAAGTGAGTTATTTATATCTTTATTTATGACAAATTGCATCATCAAACAATCCTAAGACACCATATTATGATTTCTTTTGCTTTAGAAGTAACTTCAGTCTCTCTTCCTCTTCAGTCTCTATATTACTGATATTATTGTGATGTATTCAAATGTTTTTGAAAAATAACTGTTCCAAACAACAAGCGCTGCTCTTCTTATGAAAGAAGGGTGCTGCCCATAGTACACAGAACCAACTTTCCACATGGCACCACCTACTAATTTCTTTCCATTTTTTCTATTATATCTATGCAAAAAAATGTGTGTATACATATATAAAGATGTTAATGATGCTACCTGATTATCCAGTCAACTTACTAGTTTGCTACATACATAGAGATGCACAAACCCAAGTTGACATATTTTTCAACATGCTACCAATGGTGACAATAAAATACATAATGCAGACATGTACTCAAGGGTCAGACATTTTCATAAAATTGCAAGGGGAATGGATCATCTCATCGGCAAAATGGATTGGGAGATTCTGTTATTGGAAAGAAGACACTAATCATTTCATTGAGCTTGGAGAAGAGGAATGTCCCTAGGTGTTCATATTTTTTAGCTTGACTACAAGGTTGACAGCTACCGCAACTGAAAAGCGGTCCAGCAGAAGGTCTGATTAGGAAGGGTTTTTGTTTCAACGTTGTGAGCTACTGCAAAGCAATTCATCAAGAGTATAGGAAAGTCTTATGAGGAGGAAGTTACTGAAATGTTGGATCCCTCAAAGTGGCAACTACTTAATTCACTTGTCCCTGAATTTGCTTCAATCAAATCAGAACAATGTGGGTCAGTTTGAGTTCATTGTGGTACAAACAATTATGAATTTCTTTTCTTTTCATGCAAGTGGAACTTGAATTCATACATGCACCAACAGTAACATTTCAAATTTAACCGCAACAAACAGGAGTAAATCTGTCATGATCAGAATTAACACAGATAACACCATTTTCACAACTATATATTGAATCCAAGGAAGCTCTTGTTAAACAATCTCCAGGATAAAATAAAAAGTTTTCACACTAATATTTTTCAGGCACGTAACATGCAAAGCGATCATTTCATCATATTGAACATATAATTATCAAGGGCAAATGAAATAAAGAAAACCTAAAGAGGGAAAAAATCATAAAGTGTGCAAGATCTTCGAAGAGAGAGTTACATACTGGATGTCAATATATAGCTCCCGGGAATTTCAATTACGCTTATGGCTCATGTACTAGGTGTATAATAGTCGACCTCCTTGATGTCCAGGAAAATAGTGAGATTACACATGCATCTCTTATTATTCCTTTGCAGCATCAATATATAGACATTATAATGAAAACCAATAGAGATCTGTTATTTCAACTTATCTCCAGAAGTTTGACCCTTTTATTTGTGGGTTGAAAAAAACTGTATCCCAGATCCTTTCTTAACCTTCGATCTTCCATTAATTTCCGTGTCTTTAATGCACTGTCCCACAATCCAGCTGCAGCATACATGCTTGCTAGAACCACATAGTTTACTGACTTCTCAGGTTCTATATTAAATAGGTGCCTGGCTGCAATTTCTCCAATAGACATATTACCATAGTTACTACATGCCCCAAGAATGGAACCCCAAAGTGAGCCATTAGGCTTCATATTTGCCTTACATATAAGATTATAGGCTTCTTCTAACAGACCTCCTCGCACAAAGAGGTCCACCATACACGAATAATGCTCAGCTCTTGGCACAATACCATATTTGTTAACCATACCATTAAAGCATTCCCATCCTTCACTAGTCAAACCGTTATGGCTACACGCGAAGAGAAGAGACAAGAATGTTACATCATTTGGCTTCAGCCCTTCATATTCCATGTTCTTATACATTGTAATTGCCTTATGTCCATGGCCATGCTTCCCATATCCAGAAATTAACGATGTCCATGAAATAACATTTTTCTCTCCCATCTTATCGAAAACACGTTTAGCATCTTCAATTTCTCCACATTTTGAGTACATATCAATGAGAGCATTTCCCATGGCCAGATCATGGCGGGGTTGATATTTCAGCGCCAAAGCATGCATTTGTCTTCCCAATCCAAGTGATGCGGTATTGGCACATATATTGAGCATGGAACATAATATAACATCATCGATTCCCATGGCCATTTGATGCACTTCATTGAAGAGATTTAGGGCCTCGCTGCTATAGTTACCTTCTTGTGCATATCCTGTGATCAATGCAGTGCATGATATTGTATCTTTTTGAAGCATACTCTTGTAAATATGATTTGCACTTCTCATGTTTCCACATTTTATGTAAGCATCAATCAGCGAACAAAGCAAAATATTATGTGATCCAAAACCCAATCTGATAATGAATCCATGCATCTGCCTCACCTTCACAAGACCACTAACTCCAGCAGAGGCTTTCAGAAGACTTCCCAAAGTGAAGCAATCAGGGACCATGCCTACACCATTTAGTATCACAATGAAGGCTCGAAAAAAATATAAATGGAATATACTTCATGGATAATTATGAGGCAGCGATCTTCAAGAATACAGTTAAATGGAAACGATCATACCCATGTATGCTAACAGGGAACAAGAGATATCTGAACAAGAAATTGCATTTAGTCTGTTCACATCGTAATCTAATTAAAAATCTCAGTAAAGAGTTGTTCATCAGATTGCTTGTGAGTAATTAAAGAGTAATAAACAAAAAACTTTCGCTCTTAGCTTATGATGTAAATATATGAGCAACGGGACTCTTAACATCTTCTCCTCATGCCTTTCCAGAGTCTTGTGACCTTGCAAGTAATCAAAGCAATGAAACTGCTGCATCACTTGGAACAAGTGTTCAATTAAGGTACCACATTAAGTGTCCACTTCCAATTTTGCACTTCCCCATATCCATGTATATTAATGGTATTGGGTATAGAAACCCTGTTATTCATGCTCATGCAATGATCTTTCTCAAGAAATCATCTGGACTATTCTTTTTGATAAGAAATCCTCTGGCTTATTCACATCCAATCATAATGTTTGTTCAATAGATGTGAGCACATTGATAATAATTAGAAAAGTCAAATTATCTAACAGTATGAAAGTACCTTCTCCCAGCATTGAACGAAACATTTGAAAGGCATTGTTGTCAAACCCCTGAACAGCATAGCCACCAATCATCGCATTCCAAGAAACTAAATCCCTATCCAGCATCGACTCAAAAACATAGCAAGCATCCTCCATCTTCCCACACTTAGAATGCAAATCAATCAATGCACTCTGCACAAATAGGTTCCCATACAACCAACTTTTCTGAATGCACCCTTGTATTTGCTTCCCTCTAGTTAAACACATCATACTCGTACACGCCCTCAATGAGCTCCCATATGTAAACTGATTCGCCCTAACACCTTCCCGATGCATCACTGAAAACACAATCAAAGCTTCCTCAAAGTTACAGTTTTGAGAATACCCCGATATCAAAGCAGTCCAAGAAACCACACTCCTCTCAGGCATTTTATTGAACACTTCTCGAGCAGTGATCATGTCCCGAATTTTTGAATAAAATATAATCAGCTTTGTGTTGAGATAAACATTTGAAAGAACCCCATTTATTATGAGATGGTTGTGGATCAAACGACCTTGCTTTGCCGCTTTTGCATCGATGCAGAGTTGCAAAGTTTTTGAGTACAGGGAATAATCAAAAGGCCTTGTGCTCACCATTCCAATCAGCAGCCCATGGGTGTTCGCATTGCTTCTTAGAGCAGGAGGATGGTACCGATGACGGTGGGCGCCCGTTAGTGTGTTAGAGAAGGATTAAAAAAGTGTTGGGTTGGGTTGTGGTGCGAGAGGCTGTGTGGGGCTGGGAGGTGGGAGAGGAAGGGAGGCTGCACGGGCCCGGGGTGAAGGGATCTGGAAAGAGCGAGGGACAAAATGTGGGTTAGGCACGTTTAATGTTGGCCCAAACCCAAACTCAAACTCAAATTTAAGTAAAAAATTGATTAAAAAGTTTGATTTCATATAAATTTTTTTAATGGACAAATTTAAATTTAAAGTAGACTAAACCCAAATTTAAAATAGAGTAAACTCAAATTTAAAAGAATGTGAAATATGACCATTGAATCTTTAAAAAAAATGAAATCTGACGATTAAAGATTTGAGTAAATATTTGAGTTTGACTTCATTTGAGTAAACAATTAAGTCTCCCTTCATTTGGTATAGATTTGAGTTAAAGACTGAAACTTATTTTTAGTCTGTTTTTACTTAAATTTAAATTTAAGTAAGAATTTGAGTAAGGAGTGTAGATGGTCGGTAATATTGGATAGTTTTTAAAAATTTATTTATTTTGAGTCTAATCCGGTTATAATCCCTAATTTATAAATATTTCATATCCAAAAATATTTATAATTCTTGTTTTTTTAATGTGGGATAATATTTGTTTATATAGATTAGAGATGTCAATCATTGAGTTAGAATTAAAAACATAGTAGAATAATTTACTATCTAAATAATGTTAATTTTGTTGCAATTAGAGATCTAATTTTGTTTGGCAAGCAATAAAGGTTTAGACATTCTTATAATTTATCCCCCAATTGTATGAATTTTATTTATCAATTCAATTAATAATATTTTAGAGTGTTTCGATTATTTTCAAGCGGATCAAGATTGTGTATTCAATACATAAAAAACAATACTTTGTTTTGTATTTTCATGAACGCTACCTCAATTGTTATCAAAGTAAAATAGTGATTTCTCTTTATTTCTATTAAGACAATTAGTGTCAAATCTTGACAAAACTGTCATTATTACCAATCAATAAAATAGTGACAATCTTTTTTATCGCCAGGATCAAGTGGGAGGAGGCTCTTTCAATAGTCGAGTTCTTCAGTGTTTAGCGTGAGACCCAACAAGCTTATTAATTGCTTAACAATCAGAACAAATCATAATCCAAATCATAATAGAGTTCACAACAACCATAGAACTTGTGTTCAACTTGTTTAAGATCTGAATTCTATCAATATCAGAAGACTACATATTTATGACACAAACTGCAATGATGATGATGAGTATGCTTGAGATATGTTTGATAGTTATGACAATACGAGAGGATACAAAGGATGTGGTTATGAGTCTAACAGTCTTTGTGAGAAAGTTGACGTATTCAATTTTAATCATTATTTTTATACTTAACATTTTTTAAATTGGTTGTTTAAAGTTGAACGATTATTTGATTATCATGAAATTGCTGAAAAGAGGAAGGTGGCTTTAATTGAGTATACACTGACGGGTATTACATCTAATCAATGGGAACAAGTGAAACTATGATGTGTCAGCCAACAAAAATTAAAAGTTTGTGAAATTATCACTTGTCAGCTAACAAAAATCTAAAGTTCATTATTGGAAGAAGATGAAATGAGTATTGAAAGTGAGGTTTTTACCTCTACATTGTGATCCGTACAAAGATTAGAGATAAAGGACTTTGTCGAACTGAAATAGTCACCCTGACGTAATATAAAGTAACAAAATTTTCACACTATAATGAATATTATGTGACTCAAGTCTCCTATCAAAACACTGATAATGTGAATCTTTCAAGCACCTTGAGAAATGAGAAAATTAATGGAGAAAAAGAAAATTCAAGCACTCTCATGTTCAAGAATTGTGTAGGTCCAAAACTCATAAAAGAGCTTAGGGTTGTCAAGAAGAAAATGCAACACTGATGCCATATTATCATGGTTGACATGATATCACCAACCAATAATAAAATCCNTGTCAAGAAGAAAATGCAACACTGATGCCATATTATCATGGTTGACATGATATCACCAACCAATAATAAAATCCCGAGTGGATAAGCTGAACTCCACTTGGATTTACATGGAGGAAGAGTGAGGAGTTATTAGCTTACATGATAAGTTGGTTATTAATTTTTGTCGGGTTTATTATTTATTTGTTTTAATATTATTGGTAAGTGACACCACATCATATTATCATATAATATCACCGTTGTAGTGAATATTTTCTCCATGTAGAGAGCTTATTCACGGTTATCAAGCAGAGATAATTGAGAAAACTTATGAAAAAAAAACTGATGTTGTTAGGACATCTTCAAAATCCTTATCCAAATACTTACTCAAATTTAAATTTGAGTAACAATAGAGTAAAAGCAATCTCCAATCTTTCACTCAACTTCATACCAAATGAAGAAAAATTCAAATTTTTAATTAAACAAGGAGACTCAAATCTTTAATCAAATGTTCAACTGTCAGATTTTTCTCTTTTAAAAAATTCAATGATCATTTTTCACTTTCCTTTAAATTTGAGCATATCCAACTTTAAATTTTAATTTGTACTTCTTTAAATTTGAGTTTATCTACTTAAATTCATTGTATCAAATCAAATTTTTTATTCAAAATGTTAACTTAAATTTGAGTAAAAAATTGAGTAAAGATTAAAAATGACCTTATAGACGAAATACCAGAAATACAAGAACAATCAGTCGTTGAAAGAAGTCAATTTATTAAGACAAAGAAAATTTATTTAATGTATGTTTCTTATTATTCTAAAAACCTTATCAATGTATCTATCACTTTTTTACGATCGAGTGGGATGGTCTGGGGGATACTGGCTAAACTTCTCACTCTAAAGTTAGAGGTTCGAGTCTTTGAATTCATATCGGGGTTCGATGGTTAATCGTTATATTAGTCTAGTTAGGTTTGTTTCCGAGAGGAATAACTAGTGTAGTCAGAGGCCACATGATCCCACTAATGAAGACTTATCAAGAGTAGTCTTCAAACACTCTCCATTACCCCTACCCTTTTTTCAATAGCAAAAAAAAAAAAAAAAAAAGGTATCTATCACTTTTGGATCCAGAGAAGTTGCGTAAAGAATTGATGGAGTTAAAAATAAAATTTAATGAGAATAGAGCAAATGTATTATTGTTTTCTTGGAAGAAAATGTAATCCAAACCAATAAAGAGAATGAAGATGCCTTTTGGCATATTGATGTGGTGGATGGTAAGTTGATTTTCTACGTACTGGTTGGTGTAAACATGCGTTGCACATGAATTATTTTGAACTTTAATTTTTGTTTTACTTGGACAAATAATAATCTTTATATCATAATTATAATATGATGACATAAAAGTTATATGATTAAGATATTTTGAAACAGTAGTTGTTTGATTGAATAAAACAACATGTGTTGGCTTTATTGAAACCTATCACCTTCAAAATTATATCATTAATATCAGTGAAAAAATTCTTGATTTTTGAACATACCAATACCATCTTGGTTGTAGCATGTATCATGCATTTACAGGATTGTATATGGCTGCACAGTAGCTCATAATATAAATTCAACTTATCTTTCGTTATATCCGTCTATCTCAATAACCATTACACTTTATTTTATAGATATTATGCCTCAAAGGCTCACAATTGCCAAAAAATCGTGANCTTATCTTTCGTTATAGCCGTCTATCTCAATATCCATTACACTTTATTTTATAGATATTATGCCTCAAAGGCTCACAATTGTCAAAAAATCGTAAACTATATGTTGTTGAAATATTATGAGACAAGACTTCAATATTGGAGTAGATGTGTCTACACCAAAATAAATAAATAAATAAAAAGAAGGCAACATTTTTCTTGTTTGTTGCAACCACAAAAGAATTGGGTTAACAATTTTGAGGTTGTGAGCTCAAAATTGAGATAATTTTTATGTGTAATAATGAAAAAGATTATGTCTATACATAGTTAATGTTGGAACTTGATCTGAATATAATTAGAAATAAACATTAATCCGAAAAATTCTATAAGCATGAAATTGAAGAGAATTATCATACTTACCTCAAACATTATTCAAATGAAGATAGCAGTAGATTTTATACCCCAAATAAAATACTTTGCTTGGGGTTGTAGCGCGGAGTATGTCGCTCTCTTTAAGACGGTTTGTACCTATACAAATAATATGTCCGGTATAGTAGATCACAACACACCGCCTCCAAGATACAACAGCCCAACTACTCACTATAAGTTCTCTAGGTCTACACAACCTTGAGAATTAAAAAATTTACACACACCTTTCTTTGCCCAAAATAAAATAAAATAATGTACACCACAAAAAGAGAAGAAGAAAACATATATACTTCATTATTTGTCACCCACACAATATAACATATATATAGGTGTACGGAATATATAACTCATTGTCCAAAATAATTGACCTATTAACTCATATCATAAAACTCAATTATTTTGATCTTTGTAATTTATTGACCAAATTCAATATAATACTCACCACAATAATTCTCACAATGAATATAACATATACAACTTATGGACTACTAAATTTCACCATTATAATTCTCATTATATAGATACTAATGGTTAAACTTGTAACTCATATGACTTATAAAGATATAAATAAATTTGTATAATCAAGTTAAAATGAAGATACAAATAATAATGCAATTATTGCAATATGAATTAGATAAATAATAAATGCTACTTTATTTTTATTAAAATATTCCAACAATTTATTTCTCTGAATTTTTTTATTAAAAAGATGAATATCAATAGTCACCAATGTAGTGACACCTATCTATATGCGTGAAGCCCATATAAATATATGACTTGAACACCGAATGGACTTAACCCATTATCAAAAAAGTACGACATATAAATTGAATAATTTAAAAGCTTACTACCTTCAAATGG